AATATATAAATACGACTGTACGAAAACGAATTATATGAAAATTAGTTATTTAACGACAAAAACTAGTACGAAAACTATAGGAAACTACGAGGGGCATTAATTGATCAAGCTACAACTGAACGGCATCCGGTCGCTCGCGCGAATAATGCTCGGCTGACCCAACTTTATCATGAGGCAGAGGTAGAAGAGATTTCTCCGTTCCTACGCATGCGCGCTACACCGCTTGCCCCACTTAGCGCTTATAAAAATAGTTGTTTCTTAAAACTTTAATAACTATATTAAATGAAGATATCGCAATATTTTTTTATTAGATAAGGGCATATTACTAAGAAATAAAACTTAGAAAACCAAATTGAAATCTATCCAGTAGTATTTCCGTGATAAGCGCACAACTGTAAACCTCTATCATTTTATTTGTATAAAATATGTGTGTACAAACATTGTGAAACAATTGTGAATACCTAAAGTGCTTTTGAAATTTCATATTCACCATTTTTATTTATGCTGACGTCATAGAGTCTACATTACATAGTAAGAAATTAGTTGAGATATAATCTCTTAATATCCGACGACCAGTTAGAAGTTGGACAGGTGGACACAGAAACAGGCATACAAATACCACATCACCAAAAATAAACTGTCCTTTAGGGTCCAGTCGGAGTCGGGTAAAACGCTTACGCTAATGGCCTCGTATAAACATCCTAAACATTTATCGCAGCTTACGCGCCAATATGTTAAATGGGCAACGTTAGTCATAGATAACAGATTCTGATTAGATAGGACTGTACCGATGTAACCCAAGGCACGGAATAAATAACCTAAGGTAATATCGATTGTGACTGAAAATGTTAAGTTGCATTTAATTGAAATCCCCGTGACAATATTCTTCAGTGACCTTATGGCACAGCGGTGACACTCTCTGTACGTGAGAGTTCAAGCGCCGGTGGCATTGAGCCGGAGCGTGTAACGCTAGGGTTGATATCGAACCGAAATGAAATATTATAGACTTGTGCTAAAGAAGATACATAGTAGGTATATGTTATATAATGTAAACTTACGTATTTAGGTAGTGAAAGATACGATCAATTTTAAATGAACTTTTAATTAAATGTCTTTACAGATAGGGAATATTAAAATTTCCGACAAAACAAAATATGCACGACAGTTAATGGTAATCTTAAATAATCAACCAACACTCAATATATAGATAGATAACACTTTATTGTACGCCAAAAAATAACATAAATATCAACAAAAAATGAGAAAAATAAATGTGGTCCAATGGGTGGTCTTATCGCTAAGAGCGATCTCTTCCAGACAACCTTTGGATGGACAGGATTGCATGAAAACAATAAAAACGTTGGGTTTGGCGACAAAAATAACATTATTTATTATAGTTAACAGTGGTAGAGCCAGGCGGCAGCTTTTGATGTCGAACGGATGGGCCGGCTCGAACTGGGGTGGTACCACGACCTCACAGAATACCAGCGTGAAGTAGAGGTTTACCTCTGCGTTTCACTTGGTGAGTGCAGGTGGCCGGAGGCCCTTTTTACTGGAAATGAGGCATTCCATCCTAGTCCTCACGGGTGAAAACGCATCTCTCATCATCATTTTGATTTGTAATAGAGGATAGATGTAGATGTCTATGGGCCGCAGCAACCATTTACCATCAGGTGGACTGTGTGCTCGTTTTACACCCTTATCTTATAAAAAAAAATATTTTTAATAAAGTCATAAAATAGAAATATAGAAGGTATGTAAGTACATAGATAAGATAAATACATACAAGTATGTATTTTATTGATTTGTCATTTGTTTACGATTTTGCGGCAAATTGAAAATTGTCTGTGTCACGTCAGCATCAATTTAATGCGAGAAAATTTTCGTACAATGATTTTTATGACTTTCGTTGTCATTTAAGTCAACAAGAAAGTTATGATAGACTTCGATTGCCCTTTCACGATGAAGCCCCATCTCGTGCCACTGTTTACAACTGGTTTAATGAGTTTAAATGTGGTCGCACTAATCTCACCGATGATCTGCGCGAAGGACGGCATTCTACGGCGACGACTGAAGATAACATCAGTGTTGTGCGGCATATGATAGAGACTGACAAAAGAGTGACTTATCAGCAGATTCAGACAAGCTTAGGAATCGGTATGAGTCAAGCGCACAAAATCCTCCATGAACATTTAGCGGTCAGGAAGCTTTGTGCCCGGTGGATACCTCATAATTTGACAGAGGCCCAAAAACTCCGTCGTCTTGATTGGTGTCGTGAAAAGGTTTACAGATTTAACGGAGGTAACTCAAATGCTGTGTTCGACATACTTACGGGTGACGAAAGCTGGATTTATTGTTATGATCCTGAAACTAAGAGACAGTCTGCTGTCTGGGTGTTTCCTTCCAAGGAGTTGCCAACTAAAGTGAAGAGAGGTCGAAGCGTGGGAAAAATGATAGTGGCCTCGTTCTTTGGAAGGACAGGTCATTACGCAACAATTGTTTTAGAGGATCGAAAAACAATTATTGGAGTGATACACTAACAATTGTTTGCCACTTGTCTTGGAAAAAGTTCGGGAGAAACGACCTCGCAGTATGGATCCTCCTTCACCACGACAACGCCTCGTAGCACACCGCCAACCAAACAATCGACTACTTGCCGACGTCAGAAGTGGAATTATTGGGTCACCCGCCTTATAACCCCGACCTCGCACCTTGCGATTTTTATTTATTTCCGAAAATAAAAGAAAAACTTCGAGGAAAACGTTTTATGGACGCCGAGGAAGCGGTGGCTGCGTTTCAAAATGCCGTCAAAGACACCCCTAAGGACGAGTGGGCAGTGCTTTTCTCAGTGGTTCCATCGGATGCAGCGATGTATTGATATAAATGAACACTATTTTGAAAAGATATAATAAAACTAATAACTTGCTTCAGTTTTCAGTTTGTTCAGTTTTTGATTTTCTAAAAACTTTCAGTGTCACCACTGGTACGGAAAGAACCTCTGTCCTAGGAAGAACCAGCAAGAACCCAGCGGGACTTTTATGTTTTCAAAGTAAAATTTTACAATAAAACACGGGTTGTTTTGCTACTAACTGCTTACAAAACTTATTTGAGAAACAGCTTGTAAGCGTCCACCACAGAAGGAAACAAACCAGGAGATGGGCAGCAGCGTTTTCTTAATGACAATTATAAATAAAAATAACTGCGGTTGCCAACCTAGGCGGGCAACTATGGCAAATACCCTCCTTATAGGGAAATAATATATAGGGTTGCCTGTGTACAGTTGTGGACTTTGATAGGCTGTAATGAAATAATGTTGATTGGCGAACTTAAAGAAATGTAAGCTTTACGTGGTAGAGCCATGCTGCAGCTATATTAGTAGTATAGTTGTAGCACGAATGGGTCTGCTCGACCGGGGCAGGACCACGCTCTCACAGAATACCAGCGTAAAATAGCAGCTTAACGCTGCTGTGTTTCGTACGGTGAGTGTAGAGAACCGGCGACCCTTTTTACTGGAAACGAGACATTCCATCTTAGGCCTCAGGGGTAAAAAAAGCATGTATGTAATCGGGGACAAATGTAGATGTCTATAGGCCACAGCATCCAATTACCATCAGGTGGACTGTGTGCTCGTTTGTAATTCTTATTCTATAAAAAAAAATTATCTCCGAACATTCGCCGGCTGAGTAACGCACGGATGGCGAGCGCATCAACAGAAATAGATCGCGCAAATATTTGTGGTTACGCAGTGGACCTAACGCCTTGTTTGTGCATGACTTAAACATTTGAAATAGACAATGGAACAGTTGCTGGCCTACGTCGACCACTAATAAAGAACAGAACAGAACATCTTTGTCCTTTTGTGGTAATCGAAGCTGGCCTAACAAGGCCTTTTGATGGTAAACTGCTTATGGACTATTTACTATAGTGTGAGTTAACTGACACTTGCTAAAGAAAAGTTGCAACCTATACCCAATGTTGAGTGTTCTTGAAGGAGCAAGAAATAACACAGGCCTTCTCTCATTTCTGGGAGGGGCGACAACAGGGTCTCATCATTTTACACGTCATCTTCAATTTGATATAACCTACAATTACAACATTTATCAAAACAATATTATTCCATTTTTGTAGAGTAAGCAAATTAAACACAGTCCATTTCATAATACGTGGTTCCCATTGCCCACAGACCTCTACATCTACCCACGGTTAAGAATTAAAATTGCAGAACGTTTCGTACTAATTTGGTTACCTGAATGCCTGGTTACCAGTAAAAAAGGTCTCCGATTCTCGTTGTTTCCTCATACAAAACACAACAGTATGTGCTGCTATTTCTCTCTAGTATTCTGTGAGAGTGTGATTCTTCCCTGGCCGAGCCAACCCATTCGTCATCTACATCTATCCTCGATTAAGAATCAAAATACTGATGCGTTGTTACCCTTGAGAACCTAGAATAGAATGCCCAGTTTCCAGTTAAAAGGGTCTCCAGTTCTCTACACTCACTGTACAAAACACACCAGCGTTAAGCTTCTATTTTACGCTGGTTTTCTGTGAGAGAGTGGTCCTACCTCAATCGAGACGACCCATTCGTGCTACAACCATAATATAAAATGCAGCGTGGCTCTACCACAATTTAAAATTTATTTCTTATCGAAAACTTTTGCTGCATTATTAGCATACGTAAAACGCTGTATGTATCTATTTTCACAAATAAATATAAGATGGATAGGTGATAACATTTTTCACCAGGAAAAAGGTAGTTAAATTTTAACGAAAATAGTAAAGGACAACTAATGATTTCATAAATTTACGCCAACATTGAATAAAACAATTTTTACGGATTTTATCGCGTTTAATTTCAGTAATTTTTTATTCCCGACGTTTTCTTATATAAAGCAAACAAAAAGATCTTTTATAGATGGTGAAAAAATGGAGAAGTTTAAATCATCCAGGAGGACGTTATCAATTATTATCATATAAGCTAAAACGTTCAATTTTATTTGCAGTATGACAGAGACAACGACGGTCGAATATCCTACTTAGAATTGAAAAACATCATCGAGTCCCGGGAATACGACCATGATCTGCCGGACAACGTGGTGGAGAAGATCATGGAGCTGGGGGACCGCGACAACTCCGGCTACCTGGACTTTGCTGAGTTCGTGGAGATGATGCACAACCCCGACCTTAAAGCGGTGTTCGGACATTTTGTGGCGAGATACGTGCACTCCATCATACCAAACAGAGACCCTGTGGATACAACCGGTAAGTTTAAAAAAATGCGAATAAAATTTTGCCTAAAACTGATCTTTATTGTAATTTAAGTAAATATGTTAAAAATTATAAATTAACGACATAATATTTGACCTATGAACCATTTACACTTCTGTCAGCTTATTATGTATTTATTTCTCCCAGACTTGACTCGTAGAGAACCTGCCTTATAATCAAGGAGAAATAAATGATAATAGAAAACATGAGTTGGGTAATTGACACAATTATTAATAAATGAAAGTAAACTCATAGCATATTTGGTTTTAAGTTAAATTTGATTTTAAAAATTAAAAAATATTCATGCGTATTGCCGTATAATTTTTATATAAAATTGCAACTACCCTATTCATTTTGCTGACATTTTTCTTTTTGTATAGATATAGGCTTTTGTATAGAGCGCAAACTTTCTCAAAGCTTTTTCTCTTGATATAATATCTACATAGTATGTAGCTTGTAGAATATTTAGTCTTCATAATAATTTATTAAAACATAATATTGTAGTTGCAAGGTAGTATTTATTTTAATACATTTTTTATTATGCTAATATAATCTTAACAGTAACTGTACAAGTGTGTTTGTAATTACCATGTGTTTTAATAGTACAGTGCAACGCGACCAATAACCGTGCTTAAGTCTTTTTTCATTGGTCAGTACGATAGCGATGCAACCTTTTCTTGTCGATGTTTTATTGATACCTTGTATACCTCTTAATATGTCGACATATTTTGAACAGCACGTGACACAATTTTTATTAATTGTTATCTCTTTAATATTAGGGTCAAACTGTCCACCTGATGGTAAGTGGCTATAAGCCCATAGCGATGCAACCGACTAAAGAAAATGCAGTCTCAAATGCGTTGTCGTCCCTAAAAACTGACATGAAATGCCCCACAGCCTGTTATATTGGTCCTTTCACCCTTCAAGCCAATACACATTGTTGGTTAGGTTAGGTTAGACGGCGGGAATATGTGAGAAAGTGCTTCCAACCCAGATGACGTTCTAGGTAAAAAGGTTGTGATTTTTAACGTACTATGATTATTTGCAATTAAAAAAAAAAGAAAAGGTTTTGAAGGCATTCATACATAAAAAAATATCAATGACGGTCAACTATTCTTTGCTGTAAGATAATATTTTTACAGATCTCGTACGGTGTACGACGGTACAATACAGAATTAATGTTTCGAAGTACAGTAATATGCTGATAGGTCAAAGACGCATCGCATTGTATCGAATAATGAAGAAGTCTTATTTGTCGAAGATGAGCCCTGCATCATTTTAGTATGCCGAGTGTTTGTTGCATCGTTGTCGTACCGACCAATAAGTAGTCGGCCATATATATAACTTTCATGGCTGTGAACGCTTCAACTTATTAATGTTATATTGCAGCATGATATTAATCACATTTATGTTTGTAATTGCTTACACAGTATGTAAAGATTTATTTTATTCGCTAGGACCATGGACAGGATTTCGAGCGGTGTCGACCTCCGATCGCGGTATCTTTATTTCTTTTTTTTTTTTTAATAATATGGGTCCTCGATTTGTTTTTTATGTCGCTGTCATTTTTTCCAGCTTTATAATTGTCATTCATCGTTCATTCATTTTTTTTTTCGTTTTTTTCACACTTCAAAAGTTTCGTTTTGTAAGAAATACAATATTATGATACATATTTTAAAAATCACGCTGCTTTCGCCGCAGTCTTCTTTATTTCAGTGACTTAGCGTAACTACATGAGAGTACGTGCATTATACATTAAAATATAATTTTACAGAATTTGTGATCTTACAAAAATTGGCCAAGTACCTACGCGTTATACATACGAAGCATAATGTGGGTTTTATTTCTAAGATTTACTTCTAAAACGGATTAAATTATTCTAAAAGAGCTCTTGCAAATATTTCCCATGAAGTGTAGGTTTCCTTTAGCCGCTTCAATTTCTATTTGTGTTTTGCCAGCAGAGCCAAATTCTGTCTCGCTCGTTTCACATTTACTCCCAAAAATGGATTTGATACTATACTTATCTTAGATGTAATATATTTTAATTTGATATCGTAGATAAAGGAATTTCTGTTATCGCTGTGTAAATATAAATATTAATGTGAAAAATATTTACATATATCAATGTAATCGTAATATAATAGGACTATGTCCTTTCGCCGTGACATAGGTGGACTGTAAGTTCGTTTTTTACTACAGTTTTATTAAAAAAATGCAATTTCCAATACTAATTTACCAGGGGCTAAAGGAAAGAAAATAAAAATATTTAGCGAATAATATATGAAGTGAGCCAACGGCACGGATCCTTATGTGCTCCCAAACTCGACAAGAAATGCGACTAAAACTTTCATATTTGATTCGATATAGGTACGTCTCGATATTAAGACCCCCACAATAGTAATTTTTTTTTACTTCTTTGATAATAACCATTATTATTTTAAAACATCGAGTTTATTTTTCAAATTATAAAATCTACTCGAAAAATTATCGACCTTCAAGAAAAGAGCCTACTCCTTTTTAAAAGGTCGGCAACGCATCTGCAATTCCACTGGTGTTGCAGTTGTTCATTGGCGGCGGTAGTCACTTTCCATCAGGTGAGCCACATGCTTGTTTGCCCCCTCTTTTATAAAAAAAATATTTGTACTTCCCGACATGAGAAAATATAGAGATAATATAGATTACATGAAATCCTACATTACGCGTTAACGCACTTGGGTAATTTTTTATCTTTTAAATAAGCAAGCAGACCTTAAATAAGCTTTTAGAATTTATTCATAGACATCTCATTTTCGTTTTCGCTTTTTCGTGTGTTTGGTTTCGCCAAATTATCCCAAGATACGGATATGGTTGCTTTATCATTCAATGTTTGTTTTTCATTTGTCTGCGAATTTGTGTTGTATTTTTGTCTACTGATGTCTTTAGGATTACTCCTTATGATTTATTAATTATTTTTCTTTTGCAACCATTCTTTCTTTAACAATCGTTTTAACCGCTGGGAAAATTATATGAATTCGTATAAAGTTATACGATTACAGAAAGGTACAAACACAGTGTCAGAGATAAGCGTAAAATAATCTATCGATATATATCATATATCATCGATATCTGCAACTAATAACTTATAATTGAATAATTGTAAACAAGGTCTGAATTTAGTACTGAAACTAAACTTAATATAGTTGATTTTTTTAATATATTGAAAACAGCTAAAATATAAGAACAAACATTTGGTTAATAAACGCGATGTTTTCTGATGAGTGGTATTAAAGTGTCTCCTGTCTGTTCGTTTGTCTAAGTCACACTTTTGATCCACTAAACGTATTTAGACTCTGAGTCATTCTCTAAGTGTATTAGCCTATGAAGCACCCAGCTTGTATAACTCTAGTGAGGCACAAAGTACGTTTACAAATATCGACACACACGATCGAATATGTGTGGGATTATTGAACTGTTAAACTAGTTTGCATATCTCAGATGTCCAAACTACTCATGTTTAGTATGGCGTCATGCTATAGTAAATGACAGTGCCAGTATCAAACTCCAAAGAGACAACTTTATATGATAGGGAATCTTTAAAAATTAAAAGAAAAAAAGAATTAAAAAAATAAAGTGTACTTTTTAACATAATGATTTCTTACATTTACGCGAACACTACACATTGAATAAAACTACTTTTACGGATTCTATCTATGTCGAAACGTACGAATGTACGAAACGTCGGGAATTAATAAAAATAAGTTAGTTAAACGCGATAGAATCCGTAAAAGTAGTTTTATTCAATGTACTTTATAACGTCTTTTTTCATCATAATCACCGTCATTACAGTATAGAACAGTCTACTGCTATACTTAGGCCTTCCCATGGATTTTCTCACAAGAAAAATATTTGCCCAAGGAGATTATGTATTTGAAGAAGAATATTTGATTATGCTTGGCTGGCGGGTCGGCAATCGCAAAAAAATAATTTTTCACTGGATATTATTTGGAATACTCTGCTGCCCATTTCTTGACTTGTCCCTCTGTTACTATTAGGTACAATACTGGATCTGGACGATATTGGATAGTGCGTATTCTTACACCGCCACTACACTACACACACGGTTGGCATCTTTTTTATTTAGATAAAAATTAATAATGCTTCCATCGTATAGAGGCTCGTGCCTTGCATACTAATAATTTGACCTGTGACCTCAGTAGCATAAGGTTGACATATACACTGTTAACTATCAAAACTACTTAGAAAGGCAAAATGTTGGCCTAAAAATCTCAAAATGTCTTTACCAACTGGAGCATGACCGCTTAGATGGTAGCAAGTTATCCGGCACATACTTTGTTGAATTTGAAAACATCTAGAGACGTCATCACCACTTACCACCAAGTGGGATTGTATTAAAACGATTAAGTATCTGTACATAAATGCGCCGTAACTCCTAAAAACTAAGATAGAATGTTTCATTACCAGTTAAAAGAGTACTTATTTGATTCAATACACTCACCATATGAAAAAGCAGTAATATGCTGCTATTTTACGCTGATATTCCATTCGTGGCCTTACCACTTTAGAAAGTGCTTGTTAATGTTTACTGCTGAACATGTATACACTGCTGAAAATAGGCTTGCTTGCCGGTCTTGTGCCACCTGCGTACATTGACTTCATGCCTGCTTTATAAGGACGTCACTCTATTCGGTGGAGAGACTGTGAGCTTCCATAAACGGCAAGCAACAAATGGTCTAGAATAGAATTGACTCTGAATGGTCTAGAATTATATCTGAGAACCTATCGTCTATCTCAGATCATAAGTTATTTCTGATATTTTCTTAACGATTCCACACACATAATAAGTAAAAGAAAATGTATAAGAACCACAGTAAAAATATTTCCCTCACTTTATACAGATAGATAATAATTAAATACATATGTAATCATAGATAATTTTGTCATTCACACGCTTCCTCTCTTCTCTCATGAGATTTATCTACAATCGCCGATGTTAT